TGCTTTCATTTCTAGTCATTCGAGGTTTTCCACCAGGCAGAACCCTCTGAAAGGCAAGGCAGCTGTGGCACTTGCCTCAGGGCAGGCAGCAGCCCTGAAGGCGACAGAGAACTGGACCAGCCCACTCCGGGTACCCCTAGCAGAGTATCAACACCAAGCGACCCTGCGGGGTCGACAGCATTTAATGCCCAGTCAGTAGATGGGAAGGGGCAAAGGGCAGTAAAACCTGCTGAGCTGGGAACTGCTGTTTGCTACCAAAAACGACGACCAGGATGAGGAAGAGCAGGGCAGAGGATGAGACGCCCTTGGAAAGAGCGGGCAGCGGCAGAATGCAACAAGGTTGGGTTAGGCAGAGCCTATTTTCTCTCTGCTGATGAGCAGAACAGCAAAGCAGTGGAAGGTTAAGTAGCTGGTATCCCGATAAACCCCAAGAGGCTTTAGGATTCAGGCAGGACTCTACCCATACACCAAGGGAGGCAAGGTTTTTGGCTGGGAGATGAACTGGCCGTACCACGGTCTTGCAACCTGAATTTGCTTCCTCCCTGGGCAAGGCAAGCTGTGAGCATAGCCACAGCACCCAAATATGAACCCATTGCTCACGTTTCAGTGTGGTTCCCCCTGGTTTTAGGGAGGGTTTGGGGAGGGCAGAATGTCTTCGCCCCTTTCTCCGCTCTCATTACTCCCCTTCCCGCACTAACCGTCGTGGTCTGAAGCACGGAGCTCCAGCACAGACCGCTGCTACGCGCGTTACCAGACCAACAGCTACCTGAAGGGCTAAACCAAGGTCAGTGCCGCGAGGGACGCGGCCCAGCCCGGCTCCATCATCGCCCCGGGACGGTCTGGCGCTGGGTCTGCCCTACAAGCTCAAGCCCAGCCAGATTCCCGGACCCAAATGCTGTGGTGGGCTTGGTCCAGGGGTCACCTTGTACGGGACAGCTGGGGGGAGACGTTCTGAATTAACAAGGGGCTGGGAACTGGAGTTCAGCGATGCCGTTGGATCTCTCACGTTCCCAGGCCCAGAGGCC